CTCCCCCCAACCCTTGCCCCCACCCGCTGGCTGCCCCTGGCCTCATAGGTGAGGACCTGGCCCTGCGGCCATCTCAGGCCCCAAGCACTTGACTGTCAGGCTAGGGTGTGGCTCAGGGCTCCTTTTGCCCTCCACCCCACCCCCATGAAGTATCCCTGTCCCCCTGCTTTCCCGAGAGTGTTGATGGAGCTGGGGTCTCGGTGGCAGCCCACACTCCCGGGGATAGCAGAAACTAGCCCCTCAGAGGCTCCTGGGGTCTGGGGGACCCGAGTTTTTCCTGCATGGGTCACAGATCACAGCGGGGAGGAGCCTTGGCTTGATCATGCCCCTCCCTCAGGCACAATGACAATAAGACCTTCCTGGTGTGGATCAACGAGGAGGACCACCTGCGGGTCATCTCCATGCAGAAAGGGGGCAACATGAAGGAGGTGTTCACCCGCTTCTGCAATGGTCTCAGCCAGGTCAGGCCCTCAGCTCCACCTTGGTGCCAGGGATGAGGCAGGGCCAGGCCCAGAGCTCAGGCCGGGGTGTGGGTGCCCCATAAGCCCCTGGGGAGGCCAGGCCTCTCAGTCACCTCCAGCTCTTGCTTGGGCCCCCAGGCCACCCCTCCGCGCTGGTCCCTGGGGTGTGGGGCCCAGACAGGCCTTCTTCCCTCACTGCTTCTTCCACCTCCAGATTGAAACTCTCTTCAAGTCCAAGAACTACGAGTTCATGTGGAACCCTCACCTGGGCTATATCCTCACCTGCCCGTCCAACCTGGGCACGGGGCTGCGGGCAGGTGTGCACATCAAGCTGCCTCACCTGGGCAAGCACGAGAAATTCTCGGAGGTGCTCAAGCGGCTGCGGCTTCAGAAGCGAGGCACAGGTGAGGGGCTGGGCGCAGGCTGTGCTCCCCCTGTGTGGTGGTCTGTCTCTTTCTGCCCTGACGAACTGCTGTCTCCCTAGGTGGTGTGGACACGGCCGCCGTGGGTGGGGTCTTTGATGTGTCCAACGCAGACCGTCTGGGCTTCTCGGAGGTGGAGCTGGTGCAGATGGTGGTGGATGGTGTGAAGCTGCTCATCGAGATGGAGCAGCGGCTGGAGCAGGGCCAGGCCATTGACGACCTCATGCCTGCCCAGAAGTGAAGCCTGGCCGCGCACACCACCAGCCCCGCCGCTTCCTAACTTATTGCCCGGGCAGTGCCCGCCACGCACCCCTGACGTTCGCCACCTGGCGAGCCCTTAGCCTCGCCGTAGAGACTTCTTCTGTCGCCCTTGGTAGAGTTTATTTTTTTGATGGCTAAGATATTGCTGATGCTGAAATAAACTAGGGTTTTGGCCTGCCCTGCGTCTCTGAGTGGTGCCACTCCTTTGGGGGAGGGGGTGGGGCAGCAGCCAGGCCCCCGGGGTCTGAGGCCTGGGCCTGCCTGTATGCCTCACTTTCCCTAAGAGGGACAGCAGCCAGGAGGTGGCTGCTCCGCCATGCCTGCCCTGTGCGTGCACCCCCCCTTCCCATCCAGTCTACTGGGTGGAGGGCGGGGACAC